TTAATATCTTTTTATTTAAAATATAAATATTTATTTCTGTAATATTATTCTAATAATAAAAATCGTAAAAAATATTAAATTTAAATACAAATGAATATTGACTTATTTTACTTTATAGAATAAGAAATTACCTTCTGTAATATTTATATATAAATATCTCATATTTGTTATTACCAATTACACAAAATAATTATTATACAATAACTTCATCTATTTTTTTGTAAATTATAAACTAAATGAATTATATTTACAAAATAACATATATGTATGTAATTTACAACATATTTAAACTTATTAAACAAAATACTAAAATAAGATATTTAAAATAAGAAATAATTTTATGTTTTAATATACATATCTAAATTAAAATATTAGGATATAATTTAATATAAAACACAATGATAAATTTAGTTGACATTAATATAATTTTATTATATGGTATGTGAACTGTATATTATGATTTACAATTATAGTTTCTTGCCAATAATTTCATAAAGATGTAAACAAAAAAAAAATCATATTATACCTTTAAATTTTTAAATATAATTAAAATTAATATGAGGTTGGTTATAGAACAGAATTATCTTATTTTCATAAAATTATATTTATACAAATTTTAATATAATTAATATACTTTAAAAACAAAAAAAAAATCTTTATAAAAGTACATATATATAACTTATATTTTGGGTAAAATAAAATTTTGAATAAAAATTTCTAGACCATCTAAATTAGGTTTTAAGTTAGAATTGAGCGTTCAGGTTTCCCTTAGGATACGGGTTGGTTATTCGGAATTTTAGTTATAATTTATATCACATCATAGGTCTCATTATGGAAAATTTATAAATACGGGTTGGGGTTTTGATATAACATATTGATTTTGGTTCTAATTTGTATCATATCCTAAAACCATAAAGTAGTTATATATCTTTAAAATGCGGTTTATACTGGTTCGGTCCAGATATTTCCAAAGTTTAATCCAAAATTTTAAAGAAAAACATTAGAAATAAATAATTATTTACATAAAAGAAGATATTTAAGGTACTTTTGAAATTCTAAATATTTATTTCTAGATATCACTCAAAAATGAATATAGAATTAAATATTCTAACTATATATTTATGTTTTACAAATATTTATATTTGTGATTAATTTAAACATTCAGATCGGTTTTTCAAATTTTACACTTCCGGTTTTGATTTATTTTGTACCGCTACCACCCTACAAGACCCCTTATGATATTTTTTATATTTTAGACCGGGTATGGATAGGGTTTTTGTAGTTTGGCTTCGGTTTGGATTTAGGATTATAGATTTTATATTCAAACATACTTTAAGTAAAGAGAAAAAACTATTATATAATGTTTTCACCGAAAGTTTATCCCGTTCTTTGAAAAAGAAAAATTATTCAATTAAAAACATGCCCAATTGATATTAGTTGAGTCCAACTATTTATCTATTATATTAGTAATAACTAACTAAATACATGTGTTTAATTCAAATGTTGTATACCAATTTTCTACTTTAGTTTCATAATGCACGGATCCACTATTCCTTGAAAAACTGTCGACTAAAACCTTTTTTTCTATATATGAAAAATATTGTATACATGGAACAATTTTAAAATATATGTTTTTTCTATATGTGAAACATCATATACGTATCAAAGGATGGATTGTTTTATAAATAAAATCAAACATGATTCAAAAACATCTATTTAACAAAACAAATCCGTTGCAAACGTTACATGATATTGATAACGTAAGTTTCTCATATTCTTCTCGTCGAAATGAGTGCCTCCACTTCGGAATGGAGAGGTGATATGCTAGCTCTACAATTTCTGGTCCCCGTTAAACCGATGAAACCTTCAAGTGTACTATACCAACCTTGTCCTTCAAACTGATCATTTGATTTCCATGAACCATCCACAAAGCACCATCTCTCTGGAAGGATTGGTAAAGTGACATCTGACGATTGTTGAAATACGCTTTGTTCTGCTTTTACTTGTGCCTCCTTCCACAGAGTTGATTTGGTTTCTGCCAATATAAGTGTATCTCTTGGATCAAATATCCAAATTACTAAATATTTTGCTATTACGCGCTTTCCAAATGTACTACAAGATTCATGCGAAATGATGATCTTACATCCTTGAGATTACTCGCCAGAATAAGTAATCCATATTCGTAAATAACGAACCCGTAGGAAACCTGTCTGGATGGGAAGGAACTTTTGAGAGTGCCCAGATTTGGCGTGCTGGAGGACACTTAAAGAACACATGGTTTATTGTTTCCTCTGAAGCTCCACATCTGTCACAAACTATATCTCCTTTTATCCCTCTTGCCTGTAAATTTTTCCTTACTGCCACGCAATCCGATAATAATTGCCACAAAAAATGTTTCAGCTTAGGGGGACACTGAATTTTCCAGCAAAAAGCTTTCAATGCATCCACTGTAGGTCCATAAAACTCATTCGAACGTCCTTTGACCGGGTAGACCCTTTCTATTTGATATCCTGACTGGACCGTATATTTTCTATTCTTTGTGAAATGCCAGCCGTCTTTATCCTCGAATTATGTCCTGCTGAGAGGTATTTTTCTATTATTTTTGCATCTTGAGTATAAACTAGAGCCCGTATCACCGGCATATTCCAACTCCGCGTATTTTCATTGATGAAATAATCCACTGTTATATCCAGAAGAAGATTAATTTGATTTGTATTTGCTGGTCTCGGGCGAGTGGATGGCAGCCAGGGATCATTCCATACAGAGATAGATGATCCCAACCTCACCCGTTTAATAAGTCCTTTGCTAACCAGAGATCTAGCGGAGATCATACTTCTCCATCCATATGATGGCAGTTCAATTGGTGATAGGTTGTTCAGTGGAAGGATTGTTAAAGGGTGAGGTCTTGGGTTCGAGTAGCGCCAAGCGCATCAATAACCTACATGGGGGAGTCAGTGAAGGCTTACACGGGAGGGGTTAGGGTCGATGCGCTGCAGCGCTGTGAGCTTCCAGTGGACAGGTTGTCACAGTTTCATCTTCTGATCAGTACTCTATGAATGCTTCTCGTTCTTCATACAACAATAACCCCAGACAAAGTAAGGTACAATGTTCTCACTGTGGTTATATGGGGCATTACTGTTGATGGCTGCTATAAAATTCATGGTTATCCTCCAGGGTTCAAGCATAAACACAAAGCTGCTGTGGATAAGTCATCTGTTACAGAGAAGATATCAGTTCCTACGAAGTCTATGGTTGCCAATCTTTCTCTTGGAAAAGATGGTTCTGCTTCTTCTAAATCTGGTCTTGCATCTTAAGATATTGCAACTTTGATTGGTGGCATATCTAAAGATCAGATACAAGATGTAGATGCATACTTCAGTACACATCTTCAGATGCCTTCTGTAGCTTCTCTTCCTCGTGAATCCATTCCACCTGATGAAGTTGTGGATTCGGTATTGAATGGTATTTCTTTTTCCTTCTCCACTCTCTGTTTTATTGGTGTTTTGACAACAACTAAAACTACTTTGACTTCTCAGACTTGGATCATTGATAGTGGTGCCACTCGAATCTCATGATAAAGATCTGTTTACAAGTTTATCTTATGATATGAGTAGTTCTGTCACTCTCCCTACGGGTGTTGCAGTCAAAATTGCAGGATTGGGAAGTATTAAGCTTAATGATCACATCACCATTAAGAATGTGTTATTCATTCCCGATTTTCGGGTGAACCTGCTTAGTATCAGTCAGTTAACAAAGGATTTGAATTCACAAGTAGTGTTTGATGCTAGTACTTGTGTGATTCAGGATCGTATCAAGGAGTAGATGATTGGACAGAGTAGACAAGTTGCAGGATTATACGTACTTGATTTCTCCAATGTATCATCTTTTGTTTCTGCTAATACGATTTCTTCTTGTTCTTCTAATGTGGTTGATCCTGCCTTGTGGAATAGTAGATTGGGTCATCCCTCCTATGATATAGTGGATCTTTTGAGAAATGTACTCGGATTCAATAAAAGGAATAAATAAGATTCGTTACATTGTTTTATTTGTCAAATGGCAAAACAAAAACATATTTCTTTTCATCCTCAACAGAATAGATCTTCAGTGGCTTTTGAATTGGTTCATATTGATACATGGGGTCCTTTCTCAGTCCCTACTACTGAAGGTTATAAGTATTTTTTGACTGTGGTTGATGATTTTTCTCTAGCCACATGGATTTTCTTGATGTAACGAAAAGATGAAGCCATTCGGATCTTTCCTGGCTTTATTAAAATGGTGGAACACAGTTCCAATTACCAGTTAAGTCTGTGGGATCTGATAATGCTCATGAGCTGAAGTTCAGTGATCTTTTTAAGGAAAAAGGTATACTTCCTTACCATTCTTGTCCAGAGACGCCAAAATAGAATTCAGTGGTAGAGAGGAAGCATCAACACATCTTGAATATGTCAAGATCCTTGATGTTTCAATCAGTACTGGGGTGACTGTGTTCTATCTGCGGTTTTCTTGATTAACAGATTGACATCACTAGTTTTGGATAATAAGTCTCCTTTTGAATTACTACATTCTAAGGCTCCAGATTATACAAGGCTTCGATCTTTTGGTTGCTTATGTTACCAGTCTACATCACCACATCAACGACACAAGTTTCAACCATGTTCTAAGGCTTTTGTGTTCTTGGGTTATCCAGCTGGTTACAAAGGAAACAAGTTACTAGACATCGAGACTAATACTATCTCCATTTCGTAGTTTTTTTTTTAAATCAGAACGGCTAGCAAACCAGAATTGTTTTGGGTCATGGGTCATGTGATTTGATCAGGTTGGATTGTATTAAACTGAATTTAATGATATTTTTTTTTAAAATAATAAGAAAATTCTTACAAAGATAGATTATATCAAATAAAATGTTTCATACTCATCGTGATTTGAAAAACTTATAAATAGCAAACTAAGAATGTAATAAAAGTAATAAAATAATTTAGTATTTCAAATTTAAAATCAATATGGAAAGTACATAAACACTTTATTTTCTTCTTTACCACTCTAAATCTTAATCTTCTTAAAAATAAATTATATACATATTAGTTAAAAAATCATATTTTGAAATGAATTTGAAAATCATACTATGATATAGTTGTTTTATTAAAAATATTTGGTTTATATATGAACCAAGATTTTGTCGTTTTATTGGGTAACCAATTCCCAGGTTTTCAACAGTTTGATACGAGTTTTCAACCAGTTCTACTGTAGTTAGGTTTCGCTATTAACCCAACCGGATTGGTCTCCATCTCACGGTTAAACCTGGTACAGGTTTGTTCTGGGTTTAAAAACACTATAATAAGAGACTACTAGAGGCTTTTCACATACCAGGTCACCCCTGGTTCCCTCCGCACGGCTCTTCCGTCCTGTCTCCTCCACGGCTCACCTCTGGTGAGAGTCTCCTCCCCCTCCCTCAACCCCCTGACCCTGATGACCCCTTATCCATTACCCGTTTCCCTCCCCTTGGCTCCTCTTCTCCCAAACCCGTCCGCTCCTCCCTGCAAACTGCCAAATCCTCTAGGCCTGCAGTGAAGTCTTATGTAACTAAAACTGCTGTCATTACCATTCCAGGTGGCTCAGCTCTCAACCTTACTGAAGTTTCTAGATCTGGAAACATTGTTCACTCTAACCATGGAAACTTAAAGGTCCTGCCACCAAATTTCTTCTCCCCTATTCACACTAATAAGGCTTCTGGTGCCTCCTCAAAACCAGCTACTACGCCTCTTCTAGCTGCTTTCTTACCCCCATGTCCCTCATCCAAATACATCCCTCTTATCAACCTCAATGCTTACCCTAATACTCTAAACCAATCCACTCCAATCTCCACACCAAACCCCACTATAAACACTACTCCCTTGACCCCTCCCTCTGTTTCTCCTCCCGCTCAACCAATCCATTTTACCTCAGAGCCTAACCCTCAGTCTTCGTCTTCTATTTCGAATGCCTGCCCTGGAACTAATACTTTTCCTCCTCGCCCTACTGCGCTGGTTGAAAAAATTAGACAGCGGGAAGAAAAAACCTTGAAAAGTTTTGCTCCTGTCTCTCTCTCGGATAAAGGAGTTCCCCGAGTCTTAATCCCTGATAGTGTATTTCAGAAGGGTGCTGAAATACACAAAGATTTCATTATTTGCAATTTCAGTGGAAGGCCTCCGCTATTTAATCACATTCAAAGTGTGCTAAATCACATGTGGGGAAAAGGTAGAAGAGTTGAAATACACTCTAACCCCTTTTCTCGCTCTATGTTGATTCGCATTCCTTCGGATTATCTGAGGCAAAAAATTCTAGAGAAGATTGTCTGGTACGTTGGTGACTCCATGTTCCATGTTGTCCAGTGGTCCTCCTCAGCAGCTTCTCGCTCTCTTTCACTGGAATCGATACAAATATGGTCACACTTGACGGTAGTTCCTCTGGATCTTCGCTACTTACAAGGTCTTAGTTTGGTTGCTGGTTTGGTTGGTTAACCAAGGTACGTCGGTGACTCCATGTTCCATGTTGTCTACTGGTCCTCCTCAGCAGCTTCTCACTCTCTTTCACTGGAACGATACAAATACGGGCACACTTGACGGTAGTTCCTCTGGATCTTCGCTACATACAAGGTCTTAGTTTGGTTGGTTAACCAAAAGAAACATATGAGTTCACTATTAGTTTAATGAGCTTAATTAACCTTATCACATGTGAAAGTTGCTGTTGATTTAACAAATCCATTTCCAAGCGTTGTTGAATTTATGCGAGAAAATGGTGAGGTTGTGGAAGTACAGGTGACTTTCCCTTGGGTTCCTCCTACTTACTCTCATTGCAAGGAGCTAGGTCATGTCTCCCACAATTGTCTTCAGCTCCCCCCCCCCCAAAGTCTGACTTACCTGCAAAGAAAGCTTCAAGATCAGATTTACCCACTAAGAAAGTTGATAAATCAGCAACTGCTAATGCAACAGGAAAAAACTACCTAGTTCTGCATCAGAAAGAATAAAGCAGACTATGGAGGTTAATGGCACTGCCTCAACTGATGGCTCCTCTAACTCAGCTACTCCCACTGCTCCCTAGTCTTCCTTCCCTCCCAATGCACTGGTAAACCCTATAAACCATCCCCATTCCCCTCCCCTTCAACCCACCCCCTTCTACCCCTCTCCATTATCCATCCCTTAAATCCCTCTAGTTCCTCTGTGGCTCTCGTGTCCCCTTTCCCTGCCTCTATAAGTCTCCCTGACTCTTTTTTTTTTGCCCCTTCCCTAAAAAGGCCCCTCCTGATTCTACCTCTCAATTCTTTCCTTCGTTTACAGCCCAACTCTCATACTTTTCCTCTTCATCTACCCCTTCTACCCCTGATCCTGCCTCTTTCCCACCCTCTTTAGCCTCTTCTGCCTTATCCCTATCTAACCCTTTCTCTGTTTTGGTTTCTGATGGTTCTCTTCACCATGAAGAGACCATGGACTGATTAACTATCTATAGTAAGCTATATTTTGGAACGTCCGTGGTCCGAATGACCCGGTCAAGCATAAGCCCTTCTCGGATTGGTTAACTTCTCAACAACCGCTTTTTGGATCGATGCTGGAGACACATATTAAGGATCATAACTTGAGTTATTTGATGAATAAACTATGTAGAGGATGGAAATATACCTCTAACCATGCTGATGATGATGATGGTAGGATTTAGTCATCTGGAGAGATACAGTTGTTGTTCGGGTGCTTCAACAGTCCCGTCAAGCAATCACCTGTGAAGTTCCTATCCCTAGAAGCTCTCCATTTGTTTACACAGCTGTCTATACCTCGAATGATAGAGTAGAGCGCACTGATCTCTGGGCTGAACTCCTCCTCCGTCTCAAACACTGTCTCTGGATACTGGCCCTTGGTTCTTGGGAGGTGATTTAACCAGATTACCCATCCCACAGAGCATTCTCTCTTTGCTGTAAACTCTCTCACCCAGGATATGATTGAGCGAAAGGACTACCTGATTCAACTAGGTGTGTTTGACATGAACTTCCATGCCCCCCAATACTCCTGGACAAATCGTCAGCCATATGACCTGATCGCCAAAAACTGAGCGTCTATTAGTCAACAGCCCTGTCTTTAATCTCCTCCCTCACTGCTCTGCCTCTTTCGACCCCTCCCTCACCTCTGACCACAGCCCTTGTATCCTTGACCTAGCCACTAAAATCCCCTCCTCAGGAACCCGATCCTACAAGTTCTATACCTACATAACTAAGCACCTAGACTTTCTCACTGTTGTGTTAGATGCGTTGACACGGGCCGGAAGAACTGTTGGAACCCATGCATAGCTTTACTGGAAACAAAAAACAAATAAAGGGAGATTTGAAACACTTAAATAGAGAGAATTTTTCACAAATTCAGGTGAGAGTGAGTGAAGCTAACCGTTTGCTTTTAGATGTGAAGGCACAAGTTCTTCAAACCCCAACATCTCATCTCTTTTACCTGGAAAAGCAAGCACTTCAGTCTTGGAACTTCCTAAGGGAGATGACTCTTGTTCCTACACTGGAAGAAATTACCTCAGTTCTATTCAAGCTAAATGCAATCAAATGACTCTCGTTCCTACAGCGGAAGAAATTACCTCAGTTCTATTCAAGCTAAATCAGAATAAGGCCCTTGGGTCTGATGGTCTCACTTCCAGCTTCTACAAAACTTCTTGGAGCATTCTTGGGCCTGAGATTGTTCATTATCTTCGCCACTTCTTCCTCTCCTCGTTCTTGCTTGCTTCAACAAACGCCACCATCTTGTCCTAGGTTCCCAAGCATCGTGGAACCTCGCTTATCACTGAGTAACGTCCTATCTCGTGTCTGAACACTCTTTACAAGGTGATTTCAAGATTGCTTGTAAAACGACTGAAGCTGATCTTTCCCTCCTTAATTGTTCCTAATCAGAAAACTTTTGTAAAAGGGAGGTTATTAGTTAAAAACACTTCGTTGGCGGGTGAACTTGTTCAGGGTTATCATAAGAACACATGCTCCAAATAAGTTACTATAAAAATAGACATCGCAAAGGGTTTTGATACCTTGTCTTGGAGCTTCCTTTTCTCCTGTCTTCAAAGTCTTAATGTTTCAGAGCAGTTCCTTTCCTGGCTTCAAGCTTGTATCTTCACCACAAACTTCAATGTAAGTTACAATGGATTTGTTAATGGCTACTTTAAAGGTACCCGTGTACTAAGACAAGGATATCCACTTTCTCCATATCTCTTTGTCATTGCTATGAATACTCTCTCGCTCATGTTGAATATAGCTGCGCAAGAGATGCGGTTTGACTATCACTTAAAAGTACCAAAGATCGAAACTTACCCATTTGTGCCTCGCTGATGATTTGTTAATTTTCATGGATGGCTCTATGGTATCTGGTCAAGCTGTCTTGCAGGTTCTCCGGGAGTTTGAACTAAGATCAGGGCTGGCTGTGAGTGTGCAAAAGTCTTCCTTCTTTGCTTTGGATCTGTCAAAGGAAGAAACAGATTTGATTCAGTTCTCCACAGGAATGCCGATGGGTAATCCCCCTGTGTGTTACCTTGGTGTTCCCTTGTGCACCAAGAAGCTCTCTCTTCTGCACTATGAGATCCTTCTCCAACAAATAAAATCAAGAATGTCATCATGGAGTGCAAAGGCATTATCTTTTGCAGGACGGTTATTGCTCATATGAACTATCATAACGGGTATTCTGGTGCTCCACCTTTATTCTGCCACAAGCCTGTGTGAAGCGCATTAACTCGCTCTGTGGAGTCTTCATGTGGCAAGGAGATATAGATAAACACCATACTGCTAGAGTCTCGTGGGAAGTTTTCACTAAGCCTAAGCGTGAAGGAGGACTGGGAATCAAAAACTTGACAATTTGGAATAAGGCTTGTTGTCTCAAGCTTATTTAGCTTATATTCTTCCAATGTTGTTCGGTATGGGTAGCCTGGTTTTTGGAAAATGTGTTGGACGGCTCACTTAGCAACCTTTGGACCACTCCCCCTCACAAGCTTCTAAAGCTTAGCTCCTCCATCTACAGCTGGATAAAATTAAGAGTGCAAAATGGCGTCTCCTGTCGGTTCTGGAGTGACAATTAGTCCCCCTTTGGCTCTTTAAGATATTACCTCAGCCTTGGAAGGAATTCAAACCTCGGAATTTCGGATGCAGCTACCCAAGCTTCTCTGTCTAGAGATAGCAACTGGTTTCTCCCTCCTGCGAGGTCAGAACAACTAGTTAATCTTCATGTGCACCTAACTACTATTAAGCTTAATGAAAGTGAAGACTGTTATGTGTGGGAATTTGATGGAAAATCTAGTGTTCGATATAGCACATGAACTGTCTATGCAAAATTATGTGAGGCGGGGCCATTATTACCTTGGTTTAGTATTTTTTTGGAACAAGAGTGGGATATCAAAGACACAACTTTCTCTCTTGGCTGTTTGGACTAAACCGTTGCCCCACAAAGAACCGGATCATGCATTGGGGACATCATACCAATCCCTTGTGTCTCCTCTGCAACCAGTTTGATGAGAATCGAGACCACCTGTTTTTCATGTGCCAGTTCTCTTGGAGCCTTTGGGGAACTCTCTCGCAACGATGTGGGATCCAGTTGGAGAGGTCATGGGATCGGATCCTTGCACATATCCGATTGGTTGGTCCTCGATCAACTAAAGGTGTGCTCCTACGTCTGTACTAGCAAGGGTGTATTTACTGGACTTGGATGGAGTGTAACACTAGGCTTCACCGTCAAGTCTTCCGCTCTGCTGATACCATTGCAGGTTTCCTTGATAGACAAACTAAAGATAGGATCTTATCTCTCAGGTCCACGAATCCTTCCATTCCTCAAAATTGATGCAGCACTGGCTCATCTGATTTTCCTTTAAGTCGTCTAGAAAGTCATCCAGCTGGAAGACTTTCCAGATGACTTAATTATTAGTCGTCTGAGAAGTCTAACACAAATTCATAATACATACTCATAAAGTCTGGACGACTTAGTAGAAGACTTATAATTAAGTAACACAAATTCTTAATACATAGATTCATAACACAAATTCTGAATACATAGTTTCATAACACAAATTCTTAATACATTGATTCATAACACAAATTCTTAATATATAGATTTATAACAAAAATCTTCTGGACGACTTAATTAAAGGTCATTCTTTACATTGTGCTTTTGTATGGCCAGTTTCTCTGAACACTGAGCATCTATAAACCATGCCTTGCTTCCGGGGTTTGCGTCCTCTCATCTGGGATAGCTGCAACCAAGATTGCCATCTTGATTTCTTCTGTCTCCCCGGACCACGCTTTTCGGCCGGAGGATCGCATGTGCGTTCCTCAACTTGTTGTGCAGCACAATGGTATATATTCTGTGAGTATCCTGCAAACAATTAATTTTTTGAGTACACTGGATGTACAAGTGTGGAGATATACACACGAGCATGTGATCCAGCAGCTATAGCATGAGACCAAGGTATTTTCTCCACTTGATAGACACCACAACCACACTTTCCATTTTCCAAATCAACCAGACAATCCATTTTGCCACCTTTCACAAAGAATTTCCATCCATCAATTGGTTGGGCCCTCATCGTATCTGCTATTTCCGATCGAACATCAAGAAAGTATTCAATACTCCGACTATGATCTGTTAGGAGACTCAAAGCATTTTCTCTCCTTTTCCAAAACCACTTTCCTAGCTTCTCCCTTATGAACTCCAACAGGATTTGAATCAAAAATCCTCTAGCTCGTTTCAGTGCATAATTAATAGATTCTGCGATGTTGCTTGTTTTTATGCTTTACCTGTCCCCCTGACAATAAACCCTGGACCATAGGCTAACATTGGCATTCTAAAAATACATTGCAAGGTCTAGGTTTGCACTCTGTATCTCAGCCATGTACCGGTCAAAATCTGAAACCGTATGAGCATAAGCATCACCTTTCACCAAGTACAAGAGATGTTTCCCTTTATATTTTTTGGCAATGTTATCTTGAAGGTGATAATAACATATTCCTCAGGTTGCCCAAGGAAACATCTTATCACACGCACTTTTAATGGCCATGTGCCGGTCGGAGACTATCACAAGAGGCTGCTCATCAGATACACAAGTAACCAATTTTGTGAAAAACCATTCTCATAAAGGTTCATCTTCAGCATCTACGATCCCAAAAGCCAATGGATATATCTGAAAATTCACATCTTGTGCGGCTGCAACTAACAAAACACTTCCATACTTCCCACTTAGGTGAGTTCCATCCACCACAATGACCCTTCTCTGATACTTGAAATCTTTGATAGAAGCTCCAAAAGAGAGAAAAAAAAAAACTTAATTCTATTGATGGAATCAAGTTCTATAGCCGTGATAGAATCGGTATTTGCTAAGGAGATTTGCTCAAGATATGATGGCAGCCGCGAATATCTATCTACTGCTGATCCTCTCACCAATGTTTGTGCATATAAAAGTGCTCTGTATGAAATGGTGTAATCAAGCGTCATGCCAAACATGTTCTTCATTGCATCAGTGATATGCTGCGGAGTTATTCCATCAATGATTCCAACACGATCAATGAAAAGCCTACCAATATACTTCGGGGTACAGTGTCTCTGTTGAGCGATTCGGTCTCTCACTGAGCATGTATGTGTTTCCACATACTTTGTTACCCAAAACGTGTTTGTCCCATGTTTCACACTCGCTCTGATCTTCTATCCACAACCACTAACCCGACATGTTGCCACAAGGAGAGTTGTCGTTGACTTGTATATTCTAAAGGAGAACTTACGCTTCACTGTTGTCAACCGCAGCTCTGAAAGCAGTGCATCCTTTCTAACAAAACTCTGATTGACATATATACTGTTACCATTCGATCTTCCTCCTTCAATAGCATATGTCTTTTTGAAGTCTTCAAAACACATATCATCATCTTCTTCCTCATTCTCATCTTTAACCTTTTCATACACACTGTAATTCTTACCATTCTCGTCCAATTCGGCAACAATATAAATATCATCATCCTCCTCCCCATCATGATTTTCATCTTTAACCAAATCATCATCATCATTTTCAAAACATTCATCAGCTTCTTCCCTTTTCTCTGAAACCATTTCCACCTTGCTACGGCTTGATACACAAAGCCGTACTCCATGCATTTTGGTTATCTCGAGCAAGTTTCGAACTTGTTTATGACTTGTAACATGAATAGGAGGGATGTTTGGATCCATCTGTTGAATCATTTCTGCTGGTACCGAGTAGGTTATCTCCACAGATTTTGTGCTCATGTCTAGGTTAAAATCTTCTTGAGCCATTGAAACAAATTCAGCATGTGGCGAACTTTCACTCAAAAGAAACATTCTCGTTCCTTTGAAATTATCAACCACAAAATCTCAACAACCATCTTTGATCTCCATACACTATATGTAACTGATGTATCATCTGCAAAAATTCATGATCATCGACTCTTTGGTTTCTATCTTCTATTTTTTTGGGTTTGAAACCTATTGATCCTAAATATGTGTCTCCCACAACTGGGTCCTTGGGCTTTGTAACCAACAACCATGACTTTTGGGTTTGTATATTGTTTTCTTCATGCAAATTAAATATGAAAGCTAAGTTAAAAAAAAATTACCAAATGCATCCAACAAAGTAAATGACGTCAAAATATGTTCCAGCATTGTTCAACAACAAAACTTCTCCAGAGTAAAAATAAAATTAAATAGATTTTTCACAATAAAAAAAATAGAGGTTTAAGTACACAAATTTTACATTGTGTACAAAGCCGTCTTTGTTTGTATACACTAAGCCAGGTTCTCTCTTTTTTTCTATCTTCAAAAAATCCAATGCACTAACTTCAGCAAAAACCAAAAAGAAACAGCAAAAAATCACCATTCAAACTCGTTAAGCATCATTATTATTCTCACCATCACCATTAACCTCCTCCTTATCCTCGTCTGCCGTTGTCACAACTGGAGAAGACTCAGAAGCCTCTTCATCAAGGGACAAGTTGGAGATTTCACCACAAGCAGAGTTTGCATCGCCTTCGTCAGCAGCATCTTCTGAGACATTCGACTCTGTGTCTGATTGTTGCTGGAGGCTCCAGTACATGATGCTAGCAGCCAGAATAAGCATCATCTTCGGGTTCACCTGTTTCACACAAGGAAATTGACTCATCCGATATAAATCAGATAAGCATTCAAGCCTGTTTCAATGTAGATATATTACCTCTATGATATCCTCAGGCAACAAGAATATGGAGCATCCGAGTTTCCTTGCAACACTGATTATGTATGTGGCGTTCAACTTCTTATCTTCCTCTGTTTAAGTGTCAATAACAACCAAACAGAAACACATTCTTTAAAACAGTATGACAATTATAAGGAAGAAACATGCACTTGAAACATATTAATAGTTTACCTGTTTCTCCACTGGTAACGAGGCTCCAGTTGACAACTCGTGTCTCTACCGCAGTCAGAAGCTCCAGAAAGAAGATTCCACTTGACAGATTTTTGTCCTAGAATCAGAGAGAAGCAAACATCCAAACTGTTAGGTATCTGAAGAATGGGTCTTCAGTGAATCACATCCGTACTTGGGTTGACACTTACCCTGAAGCTCTCTGCCTGAGAAGTTCGTCCCACTCGTTTCACTTTCCTATTCGCCCAGTTTAGAATATCGGCATCTGTAATTTCTTTACCTTCCGAGTGAGATCTCAAGTTCTTCAGAAGTTGGAGCATTGTATATCTCATTAGTTGCCACAGGAAAGCTGCATAATCAATTGATGGTACATATATATTGTTTTACCGATTAAGATCAATAATAATAACAGTTATCAATGCGAGAGATATATCTGTAAGCTGCAGAGCTTCATAAATGGAAGTGAAATATCTTATTAGAAGAACTAACCGAGGAGGAGTTTCTTATTTCCTTGCACAATGTCGTTACCAGCTACATTTACAAGCGAGAAGCGCAGCTCTTTCCCAATCTTAATGACTTCGTTGCAGTTCTCAACCTTTTTGAATGGCATTTTTATGGGAGGTTTATTTGCGTGTTTCCAGTTGACCGAGCCAGGTGAAACTTTATCAAGAACTTCGAGAAGAACCCATCTGAACGTGATAAGGTTTAGTTAGATACAAGAAGATATTTAAAAATATATACAAAATTCCATAGCTTACCCATTCCTAAGATCCTCAAAAACATTGTTGACATAAGTAGCAGTTCCAAGACTGTTAATCCAGAGGCGGAAACATCTTTCTTCTCGTGAAGTTTCCACATCATCTGTCATCATCTCAGCAAATGAAGTCGACTTTGAACTGTCATCAGTCAATCCATTCCTGCAACCAAGAAAATAGCACTAGTAGAGTAGCAAAAAACATAAATTGTTATCACGCAACATTAAATGGACATTTACATAATTAATAGTCCAAAACCCACTGAAAATAGTCTTTTAAAGCTAACCTGTGTTGAAATATTTGGGCCACAAATGCAAGGTTAAGATTTGCAGAGCCGTCCACTATATCCTTTGGAGAAAGGTATCTTTTACAATCCATCTTCTCAGCCTGTTCAAGAACTTTCTTCGCTCTTTCTGTAGGGTCTTTGGTCTCTAATGCCAAATGTGTACTGTGTTCTGGAGCAAGAGCATTAAGCAGATACGCATACGCCTCGCCATCCTAAGAACATAAATGTAAGATGAACTTATGATCCCACGAGAAAGTAAAAATATGCATCACTTGTAACTCAAAGACGTAGAATAAACGAGAATAGATGAGCAGGTTCAAATTACCTTCACGTCAGAAGAAAAATTGGTAACCTGCTTTTCATAACCAGCTTTCTTCAGATGAAAATTCATCCATTTCAGCAATACTTTTTCAGGAGCCAATCCCATGAGCTCCTCCGCATCCTGCAAAGTCATGAAGATTTTGATGTAGTTTCACTCATAGAAAGCCTTGCATATATATATATATATATATATATATATATATATATATATATATATATATATATGTATTACCTGAGTGTCGTCCACCAGTTGGAAAAGAGAAGGAGTTTTCTTAAAGTTGAGATCAGCCAGCATTTGGATCTGATAACAACAACAAGAGGAGTTAAAAAGTCTTATAACGTTATACAGAATAGATTCCTATAACCTAGAGAAGGAAACGCTGCTGAGTACCTTAATAATCTGAGAGATCAAACCAAGTACGAGATATGGCTGCAAAGGAAAGGGTGATTAAGATTGGCAGCTCATGTAAATAAAAAGATATAAATGTTGTGAATGTACACACTCTTCCTTCAGCAATGTCTTGTGTTCCAATGTTGACCACAGTGCAGCCAATTGCTTTGGCAGAATTGAGACCAAGAGTAAGATTCTCATTCCTCTCCCATGGGTTCAGAATTTTCTTTGTGTTGATAGCTCGTTCGTCGATGGTCCCAGGAACAGCAAGATTTATAAGCTTACTGCAAAAAAAAAGGGAACAAGAATGAACTGACCACTAAAAATCAGATAAGAAATACAAGGAAGAGAGAAAGGCATACCACAAAAGAACACCATCTTTAACAAGATCAAAGAAAGAATTAGTAGCAGGATCGATAGGTAGGTAAGACTTCAAGAAAGGATCATCTCTCAAGTAACTATTGACATGGGAAACATAGGAAGACTTCTCGGATTCGTTAATGGCATGGTGAACCGTGGTGGTGCTAGTTTTGAGGAATGAAGAAGAAAAAGCCTTTGATCCTCCTGACTTTTCCACTCCCCGGGCTTGCACACTTAAATACGCCTATATCCAAAAAAGCATGACTTGCTTGTTTTAGTTTATAAAAAATCTCTTCATTCAAGGAAGACTGATGACTAACCCGGAGGAAAGTCTCGAAATCGACTTCTTGATCAGTAGTATTGGAATAAGACTTGTCCAATACAGATTTGATCTCATCCTCATCAAAGGTGCCACTAAAAGCGTTCAACTTTGCGAAAACCGGAGGTAAATCTCCAACGGTGAAACGATCCAAGAGCGTTTTATTTGAGTTAAACTATATATATAACAAGCAGAGTTTCAACAGTAAAAAATTCTCTTAATTATTATATATGTTTTTGAATAAAAAAGAGAGATGACCTTGGATTTAAGGGTACGTAACTCGACTTGTGTGAATTGGCTATGTAACCATGGATCAGAGACCACCACACCAACGTAACTTGACATTTCCCTGCAAAAATACGTGTTACCACGATCATATCCCTTAATCACGCAAAGCAACGATTTCAAATAAATAGATAAAAAAGATCAAAACTTGTGAATCGACGATGATAATGGCCCTTTTAGAGACGACGGGATTGGCTGTTCAAAACTCAATAGAGCTTGGAGATGGAATGCGATATGGTTGTTCCAACCTTTTGAGATGGGCGAAACAATGGACGAGATAGAAAAATTCAAAGTTTGAAAGAGCCACCATGACTGATGATGGTAAAGGGTTATGTTTATTTTTCTTTATTATTTTAATAATCTTTTCCCCCTTTTCCTCCAACATTTCGGGTGTATCGATTCATTTTTTTTCTTTTTTTTCTTGTGTTACACAACAAAAGATAGTAATCCGGAGCCAAAGATAAACGACTAAAAGGCAAATAACATTTACCTAAAAAAAAAAAAAAAAGTTACGTAAAACAAAAAATGGACAAGATCACAAAAGACTTATGGAGCTGAAAAACTATTATTAAGAAAGTGAAGCAAATGGATAAGAAAACCGGGTTGAACAAGAAAACGTTGAAGGTCTAGATTATTAGGATGATAGAATAGCTCCAAGGTTGGATTAATTGTAGACTGTTGGAAGGAGATTTCTTTATGTACTCTTTTGGGGGAAGATCTTCCTATCCTTTTCTATGTTTTGATACAATCATGATATGTTTTCCCTGGAATTATTTTGATGTTTTTTGTTTGGTTCCGGGTCGGTATTTTTCAGTGTTTGAAAATACGTCCAACACGGCTGTCCATACGGTCAAAATACCCTATGCGGCCATCTAACGTAGCGCAATCATTGTATATGACTTAACATGCGGTTTGTTTAAAAACCGACGAGTATATGGCGAATAGTCCGCCCATACGGTACTGTCTGGGCGTTTGTAATAGTTTTTTTCTCAAAAAAACCCAAGTTACATAATTAATTGAAGTTGAGTTAAAATTGAAAAACACAAAACTACGTAGCTGCCAATAAAACAAGTCCAAAGTTTATGCTACAGAGCTTGGACACCTTCACTTTGTCACTTTAGCTTTTTCTGTCTCTACCAAATGTGTTGTTTTGATTTATGTTCTCTTTTGTTTCTCTACACATGTTGTTTTGTTTTGAATATTATAATATTGTAAGTTTTTTTTTTTTTTGGTATCTAGTGAAGAAAAAAATGATAAATAGACTTTTACTTTGGTTTTTGTTTTTACATTTTAGTCATTATTTTGAGTTGAGGATGAAGTTTTCTTTCTTCTTTATTTATATTTAGAATTATTGAACTATTATTTCTTAGACTTTAGTTATTTTATTTTATTAATTTAGTATGAAACATTATACTCTTAGTATATTAATATTATTTTATTTTCATATTGTTCATTGATAAATTTTGTTTAAATCTACTAGTAATTTTAGCCCGGGTTATTTTCTTATATTCTAGTTTAATTTTATTATAGAATATATATTTGACTATATATTTTACACTTCGACTGAATATGCTATATAAATTATTAGATAAGTTTACATTTTTCTATTGTTTTTGGTGACTAAATTTTTGAAACTGTTAAAATTCAGTTTTTCTTTCGTTAATCAAAATACATATAAGTTGGTAAAAATTTTGAATAAAAATAAATTATAGGTAAAATTTGATTATTTTTATCTCTTTTATTTATTAAAACATGGTTAAATTAATGTTTTATTCAAATATTGTTTGGTGCACACACAAAAAAAGTGCACCAACAAAATTCAAACATTTTTTTAATGTTAAAATCAACCAATGTATATTTTGAAAATTTAACTATTTGTTATTTGGTGATCATAAAATATATATGATTTCATTTTTAAGTGTTACGGCAGTGATGAAATGAAGAACAATTGAAATCTAAAAGTGATGACATTAAAACAATTCTGAAATGAAGTCAAATACCTTTGTTTCCATGCAGAAAAAAAATAAATATTAAAACTATAATAATATTCTCTATGATACAAGTATTTGCCAATACACCCTAAACCTCCCCCTTAATTAGCGGTTAACCCACGATTTGACCATTTATTTGGTATGACGAAATTTCCCTTCCTTCTCTCTCTGCCTACTCCCGTAGCCCTGTGGTCGTAGACCCATGCCTGCGTTGTAGTAAGCAACTTTTCCTGTAACAAGAAACCATATTTATGTTTCAACTATCCAAATTCGAATTTTAAATTAAGTTCATCACTTTTCTCTATTAATTTCTTTTATTTCACAACACGGAACTGATTTTCAGTTTCCTTTTTTTACTTGTACAAAAGCAACTATAAATATAAAAAGAAAACAACCGTTTAATTCCTTTGTTTATTTTCGAGTTTGCAATGGAAGATCTGATACTTCCTCTGCGTATATTCTCCTGTGGTGATGAACCAATTGGTGAACGAGTCAACTCGTATCACATGACTCGAAGAACAGAGTCACTTATTGAATCCCTACACGAGGAAGAGATGGAGTTCTTCAAAAATTCTCAGTTTTCAAAGGTTCACGCTTTAGACGAAAATCCACATTTTTCTGGTGCTTTTGGTCATTTCATTTTGGTGAGCATGCTGAAGACGAAGAAGAAGTATGAGATATGGTTGGTTTTCGCCGGAAGACCAATTAAAATCTCTCTTAGGGAGTTCGCTATTGTTACTGGTCTTAACTGCAACAAGATTCCTAATCAGACACGGAAAAGAAGAAAGAATCCTCTCAAAGAGAAACTATATTGGAACGAGATGTTTGGCTCTATTAAATCGTGTTCTGTGGATATTGTTATTGACATGCTCAAGACCCGCAAGGTGAAGGATAGAAACACCATGATAAAATTTTCTTGTTTAGCAATTACTGCTTCAGTCCTACTTCCATCTTCTCACTCTCCGAAAATTATTCCTGAACATGTCGAGTTAATTAGAAAAAATTAATGAGTTTATTGCTTATCCATGGGGGAAGATTTGATTTCAACTTGTAACATCAACCTTACTTAAGAAGGATGCACTTTCCCTCGCTCAAGACTCTTTTGCACTAAGAGGTTATGTTGAAGTTATACAACTTGTCATGATTGCTGCTGTCCCTGCTTTGAAAGAAGAAGTCATCACCACTGCCCCTGTTGTTGTTGTTGAATCTGAGAGTAAGAGAGAGATGCCTGCTGAGGAGTAAAAGGTTGTTGGAGATGCCTCTGGAAGTTTGGAGAAGGTTAACTCCTCCCCTAGATTTATTGTTAATCCCAAAAATGCCAGGGACCTCAACGCGGAATGCCAGGTTTGACATCCTTCTGGCTCATAATTACTTGTTAATATATATTAACAGCCACCGGCATTAGTAAGTGCTAATCAAATAGTTAACATCCACCAGCGTAAGTAACACTGTGTCATTTTCATGCTTGATGTTGTTCCCCTAGACCGATCAATCAGACTTGAGAATATTAAACACTAGTTTAGCGAAACCCTCATGCTTATCTCTACCTTATTTTTCATTGTTAGATCACATGCATATTTGTTCCGTTTAGACTTTCCAATTAAATTTACAGTTACTCGTTAGTATAAAAGTTAACCGTTACCGTTTGTGTTAACACATAATTACAGGTGCCTGTTCGATCCATTCTCGATGACGCAGAGGAGGAGTGGCTTTCTCAGCATGACTTTACTTGGGTTAATGAATGCGAGGACCCTGCTGTGGACACGCTTGTTAAGCTCATTAACGATGGGTTTGATTTCAACAATGATATGTTCCGTGGTGGCATTTCCTCCGGTGACCTTTCAAGACCAAAGGTTGATAAGCAAAGGGAAAAGAAGGCCAAGGATAAACATGACAAAGCAACTTTGGGGGAGACATTTGAGTCTGTTGGTATTGGTCCAGGCATGATTGAACCTCTAGCAAATCTAACATCCGAGAAGTTGCGTGGCGACATCGTTGGTATGGAGTATAAAATTGCAGATGCTGTTGAGAAGAAGGTTGCCGCCAGTATTGTGGGAGTTGAGGGGAGACTTAACAGTGCTGTTGTCAACTACATGCAGTCATTGGAGAAGGGAGTCATCAGGGCCATCATTGAGTTTTTGGGAAAGTCTTCCACATCAATTCCAACTGAACACAATATCCCCCCAAAGGATTTACCAACTCCCACCATGGAAAAGGACAAGGACAATGTGGAAGCATCTCATGCTGGATATGATCAGGAAACGTCTTCTGAAGGATCGGAGTCTAAGGAGGACGACCCTGTCAGGTGGGTTCTAGATGAGATTCAGGCATCCTCCAACAATGAGGAGGTAAGCTCACTAAGATTTCTTTCAAACTACACATAATTCCTTTCCCTATTTACACTAACATTGCTTTCCTTTTACTTTGACTCAGTCCAATGCTCAAGAAAGCGTCGTTTTACCAAACGCAGCAGCACAACTCCCTGATACTCGTAGAAGCAAGCGTTCAAGGGTAGCATCCACAGCTTACCAGGACTTTCAGTTAGACCCCAAACTGAATGTCGGTTTCCGCATCCTACCCGATATCACCCAATTGTTTGAAGAACTACAGCGGAATGTAATGCGTCTCGGGTATGTATACAATTTCATTTTACGGTTACATTTGAAGTTTACCTTTACATACACATTTACGTGTCACTATCTAATTTAACCCTAATAAAAAAGATTTGTGCATATAGATGGTCCTACGGATCTCTCAGTGAAAGAGTTTCTGGATATAGCCTGGTGGTATGTTCAAATGTCGCCCCAGGTAATTAGACTTACCTGTACTTAAAGAACAATTTAATCTAATATATTCTAACGGTGATGGTACTTTGGATCAGACTATGGATGCGTTGATGCGGCACTTGTCCGACGAACACGAGACTCCTTCTAACTCACTCAAGGTCTATGACACTAGCCTTCCCGCTTCCTTGATGCATCATTACTCAAGGTTTGTCAAATCGGCAGTCAAAGATAGGCCGAGGATCAAGTTCAATGATTATGTTCTGGTGAAACTACGTGAGAACCA